TTCAGCACAAAAAGAGTGAAGAACTAGAGATCTCAGTTATGTTGGGTAAACAGAATTAAAAGAAAAGAAGCTTTGATGCAGGAAGGGCTAAGGGCCAGGTTAACTAATGTAATGAACTGATAAGCTAAATCATTTTGGTTTGTACTGCAAGAACAGGCTTTTTCCTGTAAAAGTTTCAGGCAGAAGAATAGTTTGGACAGCGATGCATGTAAAACCCATTTCCCCGATTAACATCGGCTCATATGCTAGTCTAAAGAATTCACTGAAATATAGCACAAAGAAATAACTAAAAATACTTAAAAGAAATTCAGCCTCTATTGGTATAAAACCTAGATTTAGATTAAGGACCTAACTGAGCCTTCCACCTGGGCCATTATAAAAGGACAATTGACTTAGTTTCCACTTTGTTTACTCAACTTCATTTCAGATTCTCAAACCTGTAAAGTCTGACTGCAAAGCCAAGCACCCTGAAACGACCCTATTTTCATCCCCTTCCAGTAACTGATGTGACAACCCCAGACTGACGCCTTGCAGCACAGCAGTGCCATCCTTTTCAGGTATTGGCCTCCTGGCAGCACAGATTCCATGCTGAAACCTGTAGGGAAGCTTCACTGAAGGGCAAAAGCTGATGCCAACTGATCAGCCTCCTTCTCCAGCTGACCAAGTTTCTTATAGCACCGCCCTTCTCTAAAGTTAAGGCGTTCAGGTTCCAATTCATCTGCTTCTTACGCCTCCCCACAGGAATCCCCACAATGTATTCCTGCAAGACAAAGAAGCATTGCTTTCATGACCCTCCTTACTAACAATTCGTGAGCCTTTGATGCTGGAAGATAACAGAGTGCTGGAAGATAAGAGTCGCTTCCTCCATGTTCTGCTAATGACTTAGCCCTGCTGCAGGCTTCAGTTTTTAAGTTAATGCATCAAACACCTCAGTGAAAGCAACTAGAGGTTTGGGCTAGAACAGCAGTTAAAACAAAAACATGTTTGTCTTAAAACAACTGGCATACAGAGATTAAATCGTATTTTAACATACTCACCTGCAAATTAACCCTAAATGGGAGCGCTCAGGGCTTCGCTGTTATACAAGTGCATTGGATTACACACACACACACACATATATGTACATATACAATTACACATGTATACATGTATTTTGAGAATATGACATTTTGAAGAAGCCATCTCTCTTTCATGATAACAGATTTATGTTCAGTTTGTGGCCCAGTCCTTGGAAGATGCCTGAAAGACGACAACTAAGTATGCAGTTTCATGACGTAGACACAAGCCAGCATGACAAACTCCCGTGTCAAAGGGGAAGGATCCTGCCCCCACCTCATTAATCTGATATCAACTTTGTCTTTCACACCCATCTGTGAGTCAGTTCACTTCACTGAAAATGCTAGAAAAACTATTTCAGCTAGGAGGATAGCTTTCTATTGACGTTAACCTGCTCAGAAAGAAGAGGTCCTACAAGGACCAGAGCTGGTTATTTCTGATCCACTCCCTGGCACCACTAACAGTGCTTGTAGCAGTGCAGTGAACCAGCCCAGGGAGCTGACCCAGCCAAAGAGTAATCTATCCTTTCAGCTGGATCAGCTCACCACTCAGTTGCACAAGCACCAATTCTCAAGTTCGGGACAGGCTTAGAAACACACATGATCCAGGCCAGGACCAGAGCAGCGCAGGCAAGCGGTAGAAAGCTACTGCAAAATCTCACTGAGGAAAGCAAGTCTCTGGTTACCAGGCTTGCTATTTGTTATAAAAGAGTTCAACTCCCCTGCAAAGTGAGGTTTGTCCTTTTCAGTCACTTGAGCTACAGAAGCCTGATCTTGTCCGTCACTCCTGAAACAGGTCCTAACTCCCTCACAGCTTCCCGCCCACCTTTAAGTCTGAAAAACAATCTCTTCCAAAGCTGCAGGAAGAGTTTAAATAAACATTTCTTCCTAAAAGCCTTCAACTTTGGTTAACCAGATACTCTCCAGCAAGTTGACTCATGGCTTCGTTTCCTCCCTCCTGCAAGGCCCTTCAGCAGAATCCTCCTTTTCTTCTGACAAGTAAAGCAGAGCAGCCCAGGAGAAACCCTTTGCTCTCAGCTACCCTTCCTAGCCCATCCTCAATAGCTCATGTCAGAGAACTATCACTTTCATAGCCTACCAAGAGTTACTAGCAAAGCCGTTTGAATCAATCCCACTAAGAACTGTTACTGCACCATATTACTTTTCAACTCCCTTAGAACTGAAGTCTTCTATATTCCTAACATTGCAGCTTGTGACTGGTATTGACATTTAATCATGTGTTAACTGTTTCCAACCTCTAAGAAAAGTCCCCAACCCAATCTCTTAAATTTAGAATCTAATTAGTCTCAAATCCATGCTGACATACTCTCCTCCCTAGGATAAGCATACAGCTTCACAGAGCATTTTGTATGGCAGGCTCACTACATTGCTTTTTCACTTGAACTTCTCTGCTTTTCTTTCAACAATGTCCCAAGTTCATCTAGTTTTTGCTGACATTGCTTATGTAGCAGCTGTCTGGAGCTGTACAGTCTTCCTCATTCTCAAGAATGCACACAGATGTTACCACCTTCTCAGCTTTATCACTTGTGTTTGCTCACTAAGCCTGTTTTCTACAGTGATCCAGGTTCAAACAAACAACACCTTACTGTACTCATAAAAGTTTTTTTGTTTTTTTTTTTGAAAAGCTTAGTTCATTTTTACAAAATCTTTCACACAAACCACCTACTGAATGCACCCAAGTTGGTCTCTTAGTCTGTATGGGCAGTAGCTAGACTAGGGCAAAGTGAATTCAATTGAGCTATTTGTTTGAGTTACATGAACAAGGTCTGTACCACCTACCCGAGAGCTGAACCATCACTAAGTAGACAGCTCACCACAGTGACAAGAGCCTCCAATGTAAAAAGCAGAAGAGAACTAGGGAGAAAGCAAAGTAAACCCAGTAGGAAGTATGCAGGCACAAAAGCATTTATGCCAATGCTAGCACAGTGATATTCTGTGTCATTCTGCTGCTTAAATCATCTAAGTAGTGACTGCCTATCTGCACCAGTTAGATGATTAAGAGCCCTGGAGGTCAAAAGCAGTAATTTAATTACTAACAGACAAGCCCTTGTTTAGGGCAGCTTGGAGAAATTCAAAACACTGCTCTAGTGAGGTTCTTTAAAGTAGTATAATCCCTTCCTTCTTGCTCATTCTGGGGACATGTTAAATGTTTCAGGATGGCTTCTACTGAAGAGCCTTATGATCCATGCTGACAATTTAAAAACAAACCTTGGAAGGAGAGTCCTACGTAAGCATGAGGCCAATTAGCCACTCAGCTCCAAAAACATGTGTGTGTGCTGTTCTGGTGTACATAACTAACAAGTTAACGTCAAAAGCTAAAGGGTGACCTCAACAACAGTTTAATATCTATACTATCACAGTGTGTTTTTCATGTCACGGGTGCAGAGACTTAAAATTAAAGAGAAATTAGCTGCCTCTGTCCCACTGAACAAACTTGCAAACTGTTTTATTCTCACTTATCAGCAAAGCAGGAAATTGTCACCCCATACTGCAGAAAGAGATCCAACTTTAAAACAAGCAATCCCCCCCACCCATGAAGACACACAAACCTTATCCCTTGTAACCTGCCCTGAGTACACAGAAATACTGTAGCGCACCAGGGAAGTGAGCTAGGAGAAACTGAAAGGAGAGGTCACTGCCAACAGCACTGGAGGAAGAGACCTAACATTTTATTTAGTTGAAAAGTAATAATAATAATTAAAAAAAAAAAAAACTAAAAGCCCACCAAAATCCTCATCCACTAGAGAAAAGCAACGATGGGATGACAGCAATTTTCATTTGTAGCATGTATGTTTGTCAGAAAAGGGAAGAAAAGAATTGGGAGTACTTGCACATATATATTTCAGGAAAAAAACAGCTTATTTTTTGTACCTGAGGTTTTGCTGGTGTTTACTCAAAAGAACATCTTACTGATATTGACCCTATTTCATCAGGGGTGTTGAGTTTCAGCAAAGCGTCCAGCTCAAGTCTGGGGTGTTTGAGGCTGGCAAAACTAAATCAGTGAAGAGGCCTGGAACTGGGCAGTACTGTTTTAACTTGCCCCAAGAGATGCACTACTTAAAAGTCTAGCTTCCCATCATGCTTTTCCCATCCAAAAATCTCCATACAGGCAAAATTATGACTAATAGCATATAATAGCTGCTACTAGGTATTACTTAGCGTAAGTAACAATCTACGTACCCCTGCAAGCTAAGTTAATTCCCTACATAAATTCCTTCTGTAATTTAAGCACTGTGCTATTCTCCTTCCAGTCCTTACCCAGTACTTATACTTCCACTGGAAGACACAGCTGAGGTAGAATGCAATAATAAGCAGCTACAACATGCATTTGTGCATGCAGAGTAATCTTTTAATGGAGAGGTGCTACACAGCCAGTTTCAGCCACAGAATGGTACACTTTTGACTAGTTCCAATCCCCCACACATGCAGGTTAGAAATGTCACACTAATCTAAACAACTGATTAGCATTTTGTATTTAGTGGCAAAACACACTCAGAGCGTTGCCCATACTTTTAGTGCTAGTGCTAGATGCTGTACAGACGTGAAGAACAGCTGAAAGTTAAGTCTCAGTTGTAAAAACAAGAACTGGCTTGGTGCTACAACACAAGATCAGAACTTTGTTCAAAATGCTTCGTGCCTAAGTTAATTTGTACAGAGCTTTAAACATACTGCTATTTGCAAGACAGGATGATGCAGTGAGAATACAAAATTCACATAACAGCATTTCGTTTTCAGCTACAGAGACAATTCTGTCAAAAAATCTGAGGGAGCAGAAGGAGTGAAAAGACTGACAGCAGAAGCAGACAGAGCTTTTTGCCTGACACCTTGCCCTGCAACAGACACAGCTTGGGGTGGGTGGGTGAGGGTGTGAGGAAGGGACAGGAAAGGGAGAAAAATAAAATACTCCAGGTGGGTGCATCTTACTTGAATAGCTTGTCGTCCTTGCTGAGCATCTGCCAGGAGCTGGATGGTGAGAGTCCTGGAATCCTGGAGGGCATCTTGGAGGTAGATAAAGCTGTGACCCACATGTCGTCCCATGGTACATTCCCGACATATGGGGACAGAACAGGTATCACAGTAGAAATGCAACACCTAGAAGAGAAAAATCTGTATCACTACTTATAATGAAGAGTTTAAGCGTCAGGGGAAAACAAAAACAAAAACCCACAAACCCAAGCACTCAGCTATAAAAGGAGATGTTACAGGCAATAATCATGGGCAAAGACTTTACAATAGTTCCTCCACAGAGGAAAAGCTATCCCTCCTAGTAAGCTCCTGCTCACACTCTAACAGTTAGATGGAAGTGTCATTGTTTTCTTTACAACACAATACTAGGAAGAATGTCCACATCAGCCTTCTCTTAAGAACGGAAGCCATCTGCCAACACTTGCAGATTGGAGATGTCATCTATGGCAAGTTTCAGATGAAGACTTTTCCTGCATACACAAACATTACTTTCTGTTAGGTGGGTCATGAATTAATCACGGCACTGTAGAACTCGAAGTGTCCCATCCCCATCTCCCCCACCTTAGAAGCAGAAGAGAAGTTATCCAAGCTTAGAATCATCCTCTATTTTCTCAAAACATGCAAATCCCTTATGTTCAGGGCAGTGACAATATTAAGCACAACTCCCTTCTACCACTCCCAACAGGAGAGCAAGTCTTTACTACGCTGTAGCGTTTCATATGCTAGGGACACTTGGAGACACTGGAGTTGGAGACCAAAACTGAACATTAGCTTGTCCGTTACAGCATTTTAATACCACAGTGAACTCTGAGGAACCACTAAAACACTTTGCTATTCACAAAGTACTTGGACAAAAAAACCGTACACTCAATTCACAGTGAAAGCCTTACACAACATGCTAGCCTAGAAAAAGAAAGCTGGATCCATTCATAAGCAGTAACTATTTTCATTCCTCCCAGTAGAGGGAAGTGGTACACAGAAATAATGTCTTCCATGGAAGTGTGTTTTCTTAGGAAAGTCAGAAATCAGCTGTGCGGCCTTGTAAGAGTCAAGTGAAAGAGTACAAAAATAATTCAGCACAAGAAAGATCTGTATTCAATCAATTTCTCACTTAGCTATGTACTTTTTTTTTTCTTTTTTGTAAGAACCAGAGTGCATTGTGAGAAAGTCTCAGGTTACCATGCAAGATTTAAAAATCCGCTATACAATGGCAAGTCGGGTTTCACAGTATAAGTAGTTTTTCCATCACCAGCTGTTTGACATCTACCTTGACAGAAAGAAGCAAAAGCAAAACAGCCTGGGCAAGTACTTGGTATTTTGCTTGTCTCATGGTTGCCACCCAACAACTTCCAGTTCCAATTAATAGTTTACGGTACAGCATGCGACATCCCCTTTCCCCTCCTCCCCCTTAAGAAAGGGGGAAAAGGAAGACAGGTGATCCCATCAGATTTCCTGCATCGCATAAAGCCACGTTCAAAATTCCTATGAGCGCAACAGCTGAGGCAGTATGCGGATTAATTTCTCAAAGGGTGTGCGTGTGGTGCGTGTCAGAGGTTTTACTAAAATCCCTCTTTTGCAAGTTAGGTTTTGCTGTAGCGAAATCTGAACTGAATTCTTTTTTTGTTTCTGTTCAAATCCTAAATCCCCAAGCAGTATCTGAGATTCTCAGAGTCTTTTGGAAAGATGTGCTGCCTTGGTTCCCAAACGCACTAGTCAAATATAACAACATCTACCTCAACTAGAGGGCTCCCTGTCTTTATGCTGCAGTTGCCTAAATCTGAATATAATGTTCACTTTCTCGTGCAGCTCTGTAATTTCACTGTTGAAATTACAGGGAACATTTATTACATGTTGCTGAATGACTCCACTTAAACAACTGAGAAGTTTAGAGAGGATGAAAACCAAGACAGGGTATCAAGTTAAGTCATATGAATTTGATATACTTTAAAAACATACAGTAGGGATTTGGGGCCTCAGTCAAGCAGAGCAGCTGAAAGGAAAATGGTGACCACATGAACAGCAGTCCAGAAGCAAGCTAAACTTGTCATTACCCAAAAATAGTTAATGCCAAAAGCAAAGGCTAGGGTAAATACCAGAAAACAGTCCTGTTGCCTAGGCCCAGGTACTCCTGCTGCAAGGTGACTGCATACTGTGATAAACAGTTATGCAACTGTTCAAGCCAAAGAGGAAACTAGATCCAAGGTGTTCAATTGCCTCTTGCCACCCACCAAAATGTGGTGGAAAATATCACCTTTGAATTTACAATGAAGAGATATTTCAGAAGTGCAGATTACATAGGATAAAAACAAAAAAAGCAAAAAAAAAAAAAAAAAGGGGGAAAAAACCCCAACCACACACAACCCAAAAAACACAGCTCTTGAGCACACTAGAAAGCCATTGACAAGGCTTCCCGATTGTTTCTTAGTAATCAGAAAATGGTGAAACAGAATTCACAACCTAGATTTAAATCTGAGAGCAAAAAGGAGTTAATGAGCTTGGGGGAGGGAAAGGGAGGAAGCAAATAAGAGTGATCTTGCATACTCCATCATTACACTGTTATTTAAAAGTTATCTTAAATACACATGTGAGAAAGCACAATGCATAATCCCCGCTGCGCTCAGTGGGGAAGGCAGCTAGTCACCAAAAGTAAACTGGAAGAGTGAGTCAACTTCAAGATGACGTAGCAACCTTCCAGAAACTCCTTTCTGGATGCAAACTTACTTCAGTTGAGAAAACGGACTTCAGAGGAAATGCAAGAAGAGCAAGTCTCCTGCTGTGGGCAGTCCCACATCTTTGCAGCCAAGAGTGCCCAACAGGCAGTGCATGGGCTATGCCAGCTAGCCAGGTCCAGAGCAAGCTACGCTCCCCAGGAATCAAAGGGCAACCTCAGCTCCACAGCGAGGTGTGGGAGCACAGGGTCCACGCCAGGGAGGAAAGCAGAGCTCACGCCCCACACCCAGCTGGCCTGTGCTTGCACCCACAGCCACCCCAGGCACTTACTTTCGCCCTCAAGCCTTCTTGCAGCCATGACAGTCATGTATTGTTAGATGAAGTTTCTATACCTGCTTCTAAATAGAGGGGGGAGAAAATACGCTGGCTCCCCTTCCCCCCCCCCAACAAGAACAAGTCTCCCCTCCACAAAACCCCTCACACCAACAATACACTGATTTCGTATTTTTCTTGAAGTGGGAAAACAAAGAAGTTTGTTTGCAACTCAGTTTCAATACATTCGCAGTTTACCTAAAAAAGGTGGCAGAACCTCTTCTTCCTCCAATTTCAGCAAGGAGGAGAGGCCACCGCTTGAGTTTTAGTTAGTACAGTTAACAGAACAACATACTGCTGCTTCTATGCTCGTTATCTCACCGTTTTAAAAACAAGAGAACCGGTCTTGAACTGTGGACGGGTGAGGGTAGTAGGAAGGAAGGGAAAAGTAATATCAAGTCTTCCGTAAAACAGATTGGCTTGCGATGCTCAACTTTAAAAAGCAATACTTAAAAAAGTCCTGAAACTTTTTTTTTTTTTAACCCTATCCTGTCTGAAGGGATTGTGATTGCAGGGTGGGGGTGGGTATGGGGGTGGGAGAGAAGCTGTGATTTAACTGACACCCAGGTAATTCACTGTTTTCCCAAATGTCTGAACAAGCATTTCATGAACAAAACCTTCAAACATGCTGGTTTTTCCAAACAGCACAAACACTCTGATAGAGAAGGAGGATGGAGAGAGAAATGAAGTGAAGAATAGGACAGCAGAGGGATTTCTCCTTTCAAAGAATTTCAGAACTGTGTAAACTGTGTTTTAATGATTTTTCTATAGTAATTAATCTATAAATAATTACACCAAGATAGGATTGTTCTAAGAAAAAATGACACCACATCAACATACATTTTGGTAGCCAGTATCGTTCAAGTAAGGGAGAAAAAGCGATTGATAAGCAAGTTCCTTTATTTAAACTACTTTATTACATTAATTAGTATATTATAAGTTCCAACCAAAATTAAAAGGGGAATAGTTTGAGATACTTAAAAATGATTTATTTTAAAATAAATCAGCTATAGGTTGATTATTTCCCAAACAGGAAATATTTCCTGAATTGGTGGCATACAATTTTAGACACTGAACAATAAAGGGAGCCTACTTCAATTTAAACAGAATCAGTGAACCATATTACAGGGCTATTCATCTTTTACAGCCACAGCAGCCCAAGAAATACAACAGCAAGGCCATAAATGTGATTGCTTCAGGAAAGGCTGTACAGTGTACCGTAAAAACGTCGCTCTCCCCATTTTTTGGTCCATCTGCTTTCAAAGGGGGCAGGGGGATGGGTGGAGATGTTGTTAAACGTCCCCTGGGACTGCACAGCAATCAATCATCATCTGATGAATGGCCACTAAAGTTAAACCCTGACCCCACTCCACAATTCCCACACCAGTGCTCCCCTCCGCACTGCTGACCAGCTTCTAGCACACCCCCCTCCCACCTCCCAGCCCTCACCAAAATTTCCCAAATACCAAGCCCAGACAAAAGCAATGGAATGTAGTAGGCACCATGACAGAAGAAAATTCAGGGAAAACAGCAGTTGAGGAGGCTTATCCTTAACCTATGTTTAAATAAACCTCCTTTCAGCAGTATTAACAGTGCCCTTTTCTCCTCTCAGCTTGCAGCAAACACTTGATTCTTCTCACTTTAGAGCATATTTAAGAGCATACACGCATGCAGATGTCAATAAACAAAAGGAATCTAAGCAGTGTTCCAGCATTTATTTTCTGCCATGACATTTCAGTATCTTGTAAAGATTTTATTTAAGCCTACGGTGTTAATAGTGTGTAACACAAAGACAGATTTTGAAGTGCCCAGTTCTCTGAGAACTACCTACGAGTCTTGGATAAACCGAAAAAAGCAGAACAGTAGCTTCCCAGGTTTTGTTTTTGAAAGAAAAGAATCTCAATTTGGCTTGTGTCAGTTATTTTGAGTTTATGGCAAAAAACAAACGAACAAAAAACCCACCACTAGCCAATCTAGTTTTCTACTAACAAAGGTGTTTTATTATCTAATTCCCTTGACAATAACACGTACTACCAAACAAAGCTGCTGAGGTTTGAAAGGCTTAGACTCTTTATGAATT